TCTTTCAGGAACCTCCAGAATGGAAAATTCATGGAAAATACATGAATTGGCACCCATTTTCCTAAGAACTTATAGGAGGATATTGTTTTCTTGGTGGTCTTTACCTTCTGTGTGACTTTGAGTCTGCCAGGGAGACTCAGTCATGTTCTCACAGATGGCTCCAGCCCTTACTTTCACATCACTCACACTGTGGACCCAGGGCCCTCTCCTTGGTCATACAGGGTCAAATGTGAGGCAGGAAGTGTTCTACACCTTCCTTCCTTTCTCTCTCTTCTGTGTCCTCCCAGACCCTGCTGTTTCCCATTGTGGGGGGATACCTTTCAGCACAATAAAGCCTGATGTTAGACACAAAGGAATCCATCTTGTAAGTGAGAAATCTGGGTCTTGAGGATGATTCCAACTGGGTACCAGGTGCAGTTCTTCTAAGATGGAGTCCAGCGATGGGTGGGTCCAGACTTGGACACAAGAACAAAGGAGGGTGGGGGATGTGGCTCAAGCGGTAGCGCGCTCGCCTGGCATGCGTGCGGCCCGGGTTCAATCCTCAGCACCACATACAAACAAAGATGTTGTGTCTGCCGAAAACTAAAAAAAAATAAGATAAATATTTAAAAAAAAAAAGAACAAAGGAGACTAGGTCTTGGATATTATGGAAGAAGAGAGAGAAACCAAGGRAGAAACTGCTTCCTGGAGAGCAATCAAGAAGATCCTAGGTATCTTGGTAAGTCTCCTAGGGTGATAAAGTGTACCGGGTTATCTTCTGAATTCCTTGAGAGCCCATGACTATCTCTTCCTCTTGACCCAAATTCAGCTCCTCAAGCTCAGAAATCAGCTCAAACTGCAGAGAACTTCAGAGCTGTAACATTCTGCTCTTCTGCCCATTTTTTTTTTTTTTTGTAAGATGAGGGACATCTGACACAAGACAGGCACAGGAGAGTGATGATTTAGAAATGGGCACCACTCCACTCCAGAATGGTGCCAGATCCCTCAGTAAGCCATTCCCCACATTCTCCATATGTCCTCTCTTCCCTTCCTGTTGGCAGTAACACACATTGTGAGATATGGACCCGAGGACACGGGAGCTGCTCAAAAAAGAGAACAGAGAGGAAGCTGGTATAGATGCAGTTGAAATAGGAAACACACTTACTGTTGTTCTTTTTATTCCCAGGTGGCTGAATGATYTCATAGGAGTTTGGTTTCTGTCTCATATCCTAGATGGTCTTGGGTGTATATAAACTTTGGTATAAGGCTCCTAGGGCTAGTTGATACTGGTYAGCTGGTAGAGTGGAGACACGGTCACTGGTGGTTTACAGTGGCCCTCTTCGTCCCTATCTGCTGACACATGTAGATAGATTTGCAAAATGTGTGGGATGTGCTTCCTCTACAAGTTTCACCCATGGTTCCTAGCCTGGGCAGTAACTAGAAACTTCCTGGATGACCCTAATGTTAAACACTACTGTCTACGCCTTCTCTCATGGGTGGGTGGCCAGCCCCATTTTCTAGTCTTTCTTCCTTTTACCTGTTCATTTCCCTAGTCTAAAATTCAAATATCAAGAAAATGAAAACAACATGCTCACCATGCAACTAAAGATTAAGGTCACAAAGCATGATGGATTAGAATCTACCTCCAGTGGATCTTTGTGTTCTCCATGATTCCTAGTTTATAAGGCAAATGCTAGACCCGGGAGCTTGGWAAGAATTTACTTGAACTGTCTTTTTTCTTCCTCCCTCCCTCCATCCTTCCCTCGTTTTCCATATTTTTAAAATTAATATAGAATAGACAAATAAAAAGTATATGTATTTTCCATGACCTTTGCTATTTCTGAAGATCTGCTATCCCCAAAGGGTAGCAGAACCTAAGAAGGGGATAAGATTCAAGTAGAGAGAAAAAAAAAACTTCTGGAAAAACATGAGACCAGAGAGAGGGCCAGGATGAGGTCACAGCCAACTACCCTGGTGATCTCTGAATGCTGTCACCAGACAGCTTGATGATGACCTACAGAAGACTATTAGTTGACACTCAATAGACCCCCTTCTTCCTATTATGTAAAGGCTACAATTCCCAGCCTTCCTTGTAACTGGGTGTGACCATATGGCTGACTTCTGTCCAATGGGATGAGTGCATGCATTTCATTCTTGCAGTTCTGGTTGGACATTTAAATGGGATCTGCTTGCTCAGCTCTTTTTTTCCCTTCTCACTGACTGAAGGTGACAGCAAAGGCATTGAACTCTTCCTGACCAAGCAAGTAGAGAGAGCATTAAGGAGATAGTGAGCCAACATAATGCAAAGAACCCAGGTCCTGGGAGGACTTCATGGAATGGAGCTGCTCTGTCTTCCTGGACTCCTCAGCAGCTCAGCTTTTCACATGAGAAAGGAATTAACACCTGTCTTGTTTGAGCCACTCTTATTTTCATTTCCATGGAGGAAAAAAGCAGCCAAATCAAAGCCTCAACAAATATGGGATCCAAAAGGGGAAAAACAAAACTCACCCTAAAGATAAGACATTAGGGAATATCCAGAATTCTAACAGCAGGAATAGTATCTTGTCCTTGTTTTTACAGGRATTTGCTATCCCTAGGGTTTGACTAAGAGAAATCTGGAGCCAGCAACCTGAATAAGTAGTTATCAGATCTAGCTGGAGTACCAAAAATATTCTAGCAGGTAGGACTCTACCCTTTTAGTTTGGATATGTAGTATTCCCCAAAAGCACCCATGTGAGACCATGCAAGAATGTTTAAAGGTGAAATGCTTGGATGATGAGAGTTGTAATCTATTATAGGTTTAACTGGGCTGTAACTGTGGGCAGGTAGGGTGTGGCTGGAGGAGGTAGGTCACTGGGGTTTATTTTTATCCCTGTTATAGGGACAAACAAGGCAAGACATCAAAAGACAGCAGGAAACAGTTTTATTTGGCTGCAGCCAGGCTCAGGGTGTACAGCTTTTGCTGTAATCAATCAGTCCCCTGAACCCCGAGTTCAGGTAGTTTCAGAGTTTTATACCCAGYATGTAAGGGGAAGGGTTCAGAAGTTCACAGTCTGCAGAAATTCACATAAAATCAGGTTTTTATTTCACTGTTTTGGGCAAGTTAACCCTTCAAGGACAACACCTGAAAAGGGGAGAGCTTCTTCTCCTCTTTCTTTCTTCCCCCTGCCAGCTGTTACCTTGGAGCCCAATTGTAACTTATCTTAAAAATGTAGACATCTCTGTGAAGCCCCAGCTCAAGGCCAGAAGCCTTGTTTGCACATTTCTACAAACTACTATACTGGACACATGTTTGTGAAAAACTAATAAAGGGTGCTCAGCACCTGGAGGGCTGGTATCGTCTCAGCCAGTGGCCAAGTAAAACAGGGCAACTCRAAAATAGGAAGTTTATCTATATTGGACTCTTTTGCAGAGACTCTTTTGCTGACAGTCCTAAAATCAGCCATGGTGAGGATTTCTGGAGAGGCCTAGTTATCTTTCCTGTGGAGAAAGGGGGTGCCACTTCAGTCCCTAGCTGCTTTCCTTTGCCATGCCCCTCTGCCATGATGTTCTGCCTCGCCTTAGGCCCAGAGCTATGGAGATTGAATTTAGAGATTGAATTTAGAGATTGAATCTCTAAAACTGAGACAAAATAAACCTTTCCTTCTCAAAATAGTTCAGTCAGGTCTTTTGACCACAGCGACCCAAAAGCTGACTAAAACACCTTTGCTGAGAGTTCTGCTTGGAGGAGAGACTGGAACGAGAGGTTCCTGTGCCTGTTCCTAAGTGTTTCCTTTCCTCTCTTTTCCTTTCCCTTCGAAAGATTAGACAGGCTCCTGCTCCTTTCCGGACTCACTCATTGGAAGATATTAAAACTTAGCATGGTCCTCTGTACCCTTTATTTCATATAAATTAGTACTTGGAGATAAAGTACTGGGAAGTAATGTCTTAAAAACWTGAGTCTGATCTTATTTGTGCTTCCATCCAGAGGAGTGGAATATCTGGTTATCTCCTTTGTGTGATGTTAGCACATTGATAATTAGTGCGCAGAACTGTGAAATGGGATTTCAAATATTGATATGCTAATTTCGGAATACTTCTAGGAAGAACCATCCTCTTGTTCATTAATGATTTAGTTACCCTGAGGTAATTTGCCTCCGTATCCTTTGACACAACCCAAGCACTCCTTGKTGACCTCGGTGCTTTCCAGTGTGAGATGTTGCAGGCTCCTTTTCTAAAATCCCTGATACATACCCAGAATCAGCATTTTGTCTAAGATGCTCTGGGTTATTATACTCAGAAATGGCGTTTAGATTCCATAGTCTGATTCTGGAGGTATTCAATGCTACCGACAAGGTCATTGTTCATATATCATTCCAGGGGAAAGAGTGGAAAGCACAAATTTTWAAAAAATCATTGTAAATTCATAGTGATACTTATGGTTCAATTTCAAACTGTTTTACTTAACCTCTTTGATTCTTTCTCTACTACTGAAAATCCTAGTTCCCCCAGGACACCAACCTAAGTATTTATTTGCCTTTTCTCACAATATACCTGCAACAGCCTAACAATTTTGCAACACCATTATCAGCAATATCATTGAAAATGTTTAAGATTGATTTTGCAGTATTTTGGATCTCTCTACCCTGCAGCGACACAACAATTTATTCACCCAGTCTTCTGTAGATGGGCATTTGGGTTGTTTCTAGTCTTTTGCTTTAACAAGCAGTGCTTCTGGGTCAAGGGTAAATGTATATAATTTTGCTAGAGATTGGCAAGTTCCCTTCCATAACAGCAGCCCCATTTTATATTCCTGCTGGCCACACACACACATACACAAAAAAAAAAAAAAAAGAAAGAAAGAAAAAAAAAAAAGAGTGTGCCTTTGCCATCAAATTCTTACCAAGAGAGTAGGTAGTCAAAATAGGACTTTTTTTTTTTTTTTTTTGGTCCAGTCTGGTAAATGAGAAATGGCATCTCAGTATGTTTTCCCCCACCACCGGCACACCCTGATTATATGATTATATAATCATTATATGATCATCTTTTTGTACATCCCTGCAGGATGTACACTCAGGGCAATGCAGGAAGTAGATGAAATAACTCCTATTTGATCTCCCTGGCTCCAAAAAATTCATTTAACACATTGTCCTTAAATAGAGCAAGTATCCAATATTAAATTGATAAGAACAGATACTACACTTAATCTTAGCCAAAAGGCTGATTCAGTGTACTTCTAATTTGCATTTCTATTATAAAGAGTGAAGTTAATCAGTTCTTTAAATACATTTAATAGATTCTGGTATGCACTATTTTCATTAACAATACTTTTGGAAATTCTTCAGTATTGTTCTATGTTTTCTTTGATCTAAGAGTTACTTAATAAAGTATTTGAAATTTCCACATGGAAAGGGATTTTGAACAGAGAATATTATTTGGAATATCTCCTCTGCTTAATGGTTGTTTATCTTAGGAGCAGAATCTTTTGYTAAAAAGTTGTTTTTAGGGGGGGTGGCACTGGGGATTGAACTCTGGGCACTTAATTACTGAGCCACATCCCCAGCCCTATTTTGTATTTTATTTAGAGATAGAGTCTCACTGAGTTGCCTAGCACCTCGCTTTTGCTGAGGCTGACTTTGAATTTTCGATCCTCCTGCCTCAGCCTCCCAAGCCACTGGGATTACAGGTGTGTGCCACAGTGTCCAGCTTGCTAAAAAGTTTTTATTTCTGTTTTGTTTTTAAAGTTTGGATACTGTTAAGCTCTTTTTTTCATTTTACAAAGGAGGGCAAAATTTTCAAGTATCATAGATAAAACTCAACCACTATAGGAACAATGAAGTTCAGTTTGATTAATAAACAGTACCTTTGGGGGAGAGGTGGCTTCTGATTATATGATCATCTTTTTGCTTCCTTTTTTTCCTTTACCATGAACCTTCAATAGTGCCTCAAAAGGTATAGAAAGTTATTGGGAATTATATCTGCCAGGGCATTGTATTGGGTTGCAGGAAGCTTCTAGAATCTATGAAAATGAACCACTGCCTACATAAAGTAGACCTAGGAAGTATCTGAGCTAACATAGAGAGTAGAACACAAGATCCCAAGCATAACTCAAGAGAATTTTCTTCTCTTCTCCATGGCTCTTTCAGTCTCACAGAAATGAAAAGAGTCTCTACATTTCATCTTTAAATTTTAGCTGAAAGAGAAATGAAGTGATTCCAGAGAGGTTTGAAGGGGGTCAAACAAAATTCATACACACAGATCATAATAAATCTAGAGTTTGTACCAATGTACCAATGTACTCATATTACTATAAAMAAGATTTTTGTTAATGGAATAACAACTATGTCACCATACTTCAGGGAAAAGGAAAAAAGAATTAGAAATGTACAGCATGAGATGCTTGATTTACAAAACCCAGTATATATAAAGGACCTTGAAAAATCAAGAAGAAATAGTAAAAAAWGTCAGCAAAGTATTTGAACAAGTATTTTACATGAGAAAAAAAATCAAACAGACCAAACGACATAAGGAAAAGTGCTCAAAACTCTTTAGGAATTAGGAAAATGTAACTTTGAGCCATAATGATATATAAGTATACAACCGCTACTCTGGCAAAAGTTTAGAAGTCTGGCATTACCAAGGGGTGTAATAGGAATAACAGGAGTAATAGGAATTCTTAAACAGAGATGCTAGGGCTTGAAGTGGATTGGGAACTTTATTTGACATTATCAACTAAAACTGAACACATGCATATCATATCATATATAAATACATTTAATAAATTCTGGTATGCACTATTTTCATTGTTAATTTTCATCATATCACCTAGCATTTCACTCCTAGGCTATATACTCTGTCCCTTAGAAATGTGAGTGCATTCTACCATAGAAAAGAATGTTCTACACATAGAAGAGAATGTTCATAGGCAAAAACTGGAAACACCCATTTACTATAGTAATGCCCATTCACTGTAGAATGAATGAATACATTTATTGTACATCCATCCACTGGCATTCTGGCAGATGCTTAACAATAGGGAGGAAAAGCTCTGATTTGAAGCATTTGCCAAATTCCACAGTGTAAATACTTCCATAGTGGCCAATTTCAAGCTCCCAATATGATACCAACTAGCTTACAAAACCCATGAACATTTAACAATCCGCTCTCATGAGTCTGCACAAGCTGGCTCCAGAGGAACACTGAGTATATTCCCATGTTGTAACACAACACAGCAATAAAAATGAATGAATGCTATCTACATGCAACAGCTTGGATAAATCTCACAAACATGATGTTGAGCAAAATAAGTGAATAGGAAAAGAATGCACCGTGCATGATTCCATCTATGTATAGATGGAATAGGCCAAATTAAATCAGAATGCTTAGGGATTGATACTTATGTGATAAAAGTACATGGCAAGGGAGAGTTGATTCTACAAGTGAAGACAGTGGTTAACTAATGAAGAAGAGGAAGTATGTCGTAGACTTTTGGGGCATAGGTCAAATGTTCCATTTCTTGATTTTGGTGGAGTTATACAGGTGTTCCCTTTATACGTATTTGTTAAATTATACCTATAGTTGTGTGCATCTGTTTGATATAGGTTTAAATCAGTGGCGTGTTGGAACTTGTTCATACCTACTCATGAGGATAATCTCTTCTCAGCTCTGCATTCAGTGACGCCCTATTGGTAGCCTGGAATCAGCTACAGTGGGAGCGTTTACACCACAGAAATTGGCAAACATAACAAATCAGGACTTTTTTYCTTTTTCTCTTGGAGAATGGGTTTAGCAACCCACCACTGACAATACATTTAAAACATACATATGATTCAAAGAATCTGCTTTTTAAAGCACATATTTTTCAAGGTTGAATGCCCTTCAACAGTTTCAAGGCAAATTGAATTTTTGAAAAACTTTCCTGATGGTAAGTTATTTATAATATTTTTATATTAAAATAATCCTAGATATATTATAATATAGACATGACAAGATCCTTGGAATGAAAAGCACTGACATTGTAAAAGAGAATTGGTTGTGAGAAATGTGAAGGGTTTGACATTCTCCATTATTTGATGTGAATGAACATCATTACACTAATGGTAAAATTAAGACCCACATGTAGTCTGCTGCCCTTACAGAAAATGTTCCTGATGAGTCTTTTGCAAGATGRTAAAATATAGAGTGGATCAGAAGCTTTTCTGACTTCCATTCAACTTGACTTTCTTAATTTCCACCAAAGAGTGGCCCCAAACATTGTACTTTGCCAACTTGTTGGCAGCACTGAGCAGCTCTCCTTCATGATTCCTGTCATAACTTGTATAGCAGTGGAAAAACACGGTTATTTTTATCTACATATTTATGTGAGTCCAYGTTCTCAAAATTCAGGGATCCTAAGATAGAGTTATATGATGTTTATTCATTTCTGCTTTCCTGATGGTAAGTTATTTATAATATTTTTATATTAAAATAATCCTAGATATTTTATCATATAGAATTTAAAGTTTTTCATTCATTTTCAAGGGAAGCCACAAGTTCATAGGGAAATTTGGGCGTGTGAATGGCTTCCTCAGATAATGCCTTCAGACCCCTAAGAGGGTGGGCTATGCACCACTTCCTTATGTTTTTAGAGCTGCTTCTATAGAAAGGTTTCCACTGCTGGAAAAGGAATCTGATGCTAAAAGTTTTTAAAAAGTCTAAACTACTATCATTTCCCTTATGATATKAATCTGAAAACAATAGATTTGGCAAGATATTGATAAACTCATATATCATCCTGACTTGTGGAAACTTGACTAGAAAACATTGTTTTCATTTGGGTGGGGGACAAGGAATGAAGATGGGACAGGTTCCTTGAATGATTTTGACTCATTTGTTTTACAAGAATTGAGACATCAAAGGGTCCAAACAAGATAAGCCTAGGGCTTTGTTATTTTTTCCACTGGCTTGAGAGGAGTCGGATGGGAAGAATATTACTTATAATCAGACACCAAAGTAAGCTCAGATTTAACAGGTGTGAGTCTACATTACAGGGAGTGGGAGCCCCAGGCTGTGGACACCTGTCTTCTCCGTGTTCTCACCTCCACTTGCCTTTTCTGCYGATCTGGCAACCCTGTAAGAGTTTACCTTACTGCTTTTTTTTTTTTTTTTTGGTCTTATGTTTCCCAGATCTCAATTTATTCTTTTTGACATTGTTAGGCAGGAACTGATTCATGTTAGTTGTAACAAAATGTAAAGCAAACAGAATATTCATCTATCACCATATTTGATAGCCATGTCTCCAGGGGCAGTTTCACCCTAAAATACTATGGGAAGACTGTCACAGCATGTTACCAGGAGTTAGAGGAGGAAGAACTGTGAGTTCCTCTTGCATTCCCTCCCCAAGCTGTCAGAAGCAAATCTAAGCCATATTAACAGGGGGAATCGCCTCCATTGATCAAGGAATCTCCTTTTTGTGCTTGCCCAAAAGCACTCGTAAATATAAGACTACAATTGGTTAGTGGCATGCAACATTTGGTTGGCTGATATTTTCATTCAATTATTTTCAATACAATTGTGGTATATCATGGTGTGAGGATATATTAAAAGAAAACCCCAGGCATTGATGCTGCACCCTTAGATTTGATATTCCAAGCAATTGGAGAGGATTATTTTAGAACAATTTTCAAGAGAGATTTGTGGGAAGTGGAGAGTAGATTATCAGAATTATTTGTGGAGCTCTTCAAAAAGCAAAAATTATATATCCTAATCCAGCCCTTTGTTTGAACTATTCCAATCAGAATTTCTTGAATTATGAGATGGGCAATCTTGTTATGAAAAAGTTGAGTCTGATAAATACCCCTGACTGAGAAGAACACTAAATAGAGAAGGCGATAAGACATCATTAGCCAGGGATGAGAGRATAATGGAGAATTCTTCCTCCTCTTTCTGGTAACTTAAAACATTCAACAAAGCCTAATGGTAGACCCTGCAGAGCAGAAAACAGAATCTCTGCCTCAAGATGCATATGCTATTTAGAACTATTTAGAACTCAAACAGGAGGCACATGGACAGAAATTTCCCAGCACAAAACAGGATGGGGCAAACCCTGTGGATCTAGATGTTCCTTGGCCCTTGGGAACACAATTGGCCACCCATCCACAGGACAGAAGAACTCTCAGGGGTCACCTCAGAGAGGTTATCAGAGTACAGTGAGGGAAGAGTATTGTGAATGAGTCATTTAGGCATCAGAAG